CGACGACGATGACGACGACGACGACGACGGAGGCAGCCGCAGAGGAGGCGGGCGCTCTGAGGGCGGCAGTGGGGGCCCTCGCTGCGGCTGGGGCGCGGGCGGCGGCCCGGGGCTGGGAACGATCCCGGTGGCGACCGCCTTACACGCGAGGGGCGGGGAGGGGGGTGGGCGAGAAACTGTGAAGGGGGGATGCGCTTTCTCAATAAAAAAACAAATATTTCTAGAGGGCCCGCTGAGTTCCCAAGGCCACGGTCGCCAACAGAGCCAACATCCCTGCGGCTCCTCGGTCCGAACCAACGGCCGTACGACGGGACACGCAGAACGGCGGGGACAGCCACGAGCGAGAAAGACAGTGCGAGGCCAAGCGGCGGGATAAATGGGCGGGACGAACGGTGCCCTGTTCGGTCCCTAGAAGCCCCCTCTGGGGCCCCGAAGAGCTCTTCCAGGGGCCCTCAAGGGCTCCCCTTGGGGGCTCCCAGGGGCCCCCTTTCTGCAGCCCGCGCCGCCCCACCCCGCACGTCGCCCCTCCATTTACTCGTCCTCTGGGGGCAGAGGGCCAGCGAAGAATAATACGTAGCACCCCGCAATTGCGGATAAGAGTGAGGAGGGGCCGGAAGGAAAGGGTGGAAATGAACATGGGGGAGTGGCGGAATCGACTTCGGCGACTTTCTCAAGGCAAGGGCTGGGCTGCAGCGGCCGGTTCGGGCAACGGCCCGACGAGGGGAACGCGCCGGCGCGCCTCTCCACGCGCGGCAATCCAGAAGCCCCCTGGGATCTGCTGGCCCGCCAAGTGCTTGGTCTCGGACTCGACGATGCACTCCCGCACCGCCGAAGTGCGCGCTTGCGCGCGGTCGTCTGGAACAACAGCACGCAGTCGCCAAGCCCGGGCTTTGGTTTTGAAGTCGCACGCCACCGGAACGCCAGCGTTCACCCGCACAGAGCGCACCGGGCAAGAAATGCAACTGGTCGGCGCGACGTCGGCAGCCACGCGCACGGCAGCCGTGCAGTTTGGGCACTCGTGCCAAGCACCTGGCCGTGCCAAGAGAGCCTCAGAGCATGAACGAAACAGGTCCTCAAGGAAACGGGTCCTGCACCCCAAAATCTCCCAAGGTCGTTTTTTGAAACCCTGAGGGCGCGCGGGGAAGCCCTGGAGGGCGAAAGCGGCGATAGAAATGGGGGACATTTTTCCTTGAGGCCCCCGTTCCGTCATGATGAACCTCGCGACGCGCAGCGGCGGCAGCTCGCAAGCCAGACTGGGAGCCACTGGGCGCGCGCGGGACGCCATGGCGCACGAGGCGCTGGACTTTGGGTTTCCCGCGCGCCTTCGGTGCCATGCTCGGGCCGAGACGGCTACGGAAGAAAGGCGGGAAACGACCTCCACGCGCGCCCTCCCGAGGCGCCCTCCCGGCGCGCCCTCCCCGCGCGCCCTCCCCGCGCGCCCTCCCCGCGCGCCCTCCCGGCGCGCCCTCCCGGCGCGCCCTCCCGGCGCGCCCTCCCGGCGCGCCCTCCCCGCGCGCCCTCCCGCGCACCGCCTCCTCTTTGAGCCACGCGCACACAGGGACATAGAATGACCGTTCGGCCCTCCTCACTCTGACCTGCAGGGCGGCGGCGGGGGAAACGCAGAAGCTGTGCGACCGAGAGCACGGGGCTGAACTCGAGAGCGGAGCTCGAGACCAACGTGGCCATGGACACGCGAGCGTAAGGCGACGCCGTCCTCCGCTCCGCTCCCGCACGCCTCAGCAGGGCCCGGCGGGGTCGGACGTCCCAAGTGGCGGCGCGCGGGTCTCCAGCCGCCGCTCGAGGCGACCTTCGCTGTGGATGTGGGTGCCCGTGTCCCTGCGAGCTCCCCTCCAGCTGGTCCCCTGCTGACGTTGCCCCTGTCAAGGGCGGCCTGCTCGGGAAGGGCTCACAGCCATCGGGGGGTAGAAGTACCGCAGAGAGCGAGCCTCGTTTCCCCTGTCCACACTGCCACTGGCACGACTTTGGCCCAGCCGGCCGATTCACACACCCCCAGAAGGGGGCGCGTGCTGTTCCATTCGGGTTTCGCGGGGCCCATCCCCACCGGGGTTGGGTCTGCTGGCTGGGCTGAGATACCATGGCCCAGTGGGGATGGGGATGGCCAGACGATGCCGGGAGAGGAAGCAGATCGGGGATCGGGGATCGAGGACCAAGCGATCCTTCGAAGCTCGATCGATAGAGCCTCGGTCCTCCATGGGGCGATTTCCCGACCCTCCGTCCTCGACTCTCGGGTGTTCGAATCTCGAGGCTATCACCCTCCATCCTCGAATTTCGCCCCTCGAATCTCAAACCTACAATCATGGACCCTCGAACCTCGAGCGTACCGATGGGACCGTGTTTGGGAAACGCTTCTGGGGCTCCCACGGGCTTTCCGTTCTCGCGGCCACGGCTGCATTCCCGCGAATAGTTGCCTCAGGTGGGTTCTGACAGGCCCGCGCGTGGACTCACGAGGCCCAGAGGACGCACACCCCTCCAGGCGTCGCGAGCGAATCGCAACGGCATGCTTCTGTGAACGCGGACCTCAGGAGAAACCCAGGACAAGACTCGAGCCAAAGTGTGTGTGTGTGTGTGTGTTCCGTCCTCGTTTTGGTTTTCCGTGCCCATCGCTGTGTCTTCGCTCCGCCTCTGCTGCAAAACAAAGCCAAACAAAAACGGTCCGCGAAATCGCCCAAATAACGTTTAGCTCGAGCCATTCCCCCGGAAGTCCTTTTGTCGCCCCCCCTGGGGGGCCACCGCAGAGCAGTCCGCGACGAAGAAGAGCCTGGCGCCACGAGGGAGATTTGGGAGTTCTCGGGCGCCCGCGCGACGCCAGAGCTCTGGGGGGAGGTCAGGGCGAAGTGAGACGGGGAGGAAGGGGGAAATGAGAAAGGGGAGCCGCAGGGAATACGGAAGGAGCAGGGGGGACGGCGTAGAGAACAGATTCGGGCGGAAGGGGGGGGAAGGGGACAACCGAGAGAGGGGGGGGGGGCGAGGCGGCGGGGAGGGGGAGATATAGGATATAGGGAGCGGCGGAGAGGGGGAAAGACTGGAAAGGAAAGGGAACAAGGGAGACGGGCTCACTTCCGATGGCCTCCCCCCCCGCCCACTCCCCCCTCCTCCCAGCCATTCACCCCCTCTGACCCCTCCCTCTCCTGCCCACCCTCTCCCCGCCGTTCTCCGTGGGCCCCCCCCCTACGGGTCCACGATTATCGCATAATGCTTCCTGACCGCGGCGTGCCAAACTCGCATGCGCTAGCGGCGACCGAGCGCCTCCTCGCAGCCGCCCCGCGCGGTGGGCGCAGTACTCTTAAGATGTCGTGCTGTCGACACTGTCGCTGTGCTGTCTCAGGCGTACTGTTGACCCCGCCCCCACCCCTCCTCCTCCTCCTCCTCCTCCTCCTCCTCCTCCTCCTCCTCCTCTTCCTCCTCCTCCTCCTCCTCCTCCTCCTCCTCCTCCTCCTCCTCCTCCTCAGGCTGGCGGCCGCCTCCTTCCCCCTCCCCCCTTGAAGGGGGCTCTCGTTGCATCATAGACCCTGCGATCTTTATCCCCTGCCCCTCGGCTTGCGCCGTGGAGGCAGGCTGAGCCCGCACAGCGGGCGGGCCCCGGGCTGCCGCACTCGGTCGATGAATGCGTGGCACTCCCCCGGCCACTGCTCGCATGCGCGGGCCCTTCCGCGGATGTTGCCGATCTGGTCCCCCCCCCTCCCCGACCAGCCCCACAGCTGGGGGGCAACTGTGCTTCGGCTTGCTGGCCGTGCCATGGCGGCAGATGGAAGCAGAGGGGGGAGCGTTGCACGTGAAGGTCCAGGGCGAAATCTCCAGCGTCTGGCAGCACATGCGTCTTGTGGGGTGCCTCGTGGAGCTGCAGACTGGCACGGCCAGGTCCACAGCGACCCAGGGATGGTCGCCAAGAGCAGTGGTCAGGCGCACCCCCCTTCCCAGAAAGAAAACCGGATTGCAGAACAGACTGGCCAAGGCCAGCGACACCGCAGAGGCCTCTTTGACGGGTGCACAGACCTGCTCACCAGGATGCCTCCTGACACCCCTGGGAGACTGTCCTATCGACGATCCCTCGAGAAGGATACCGAAACCGATGGAGCCCCTCCCGAAACCGATAGACTGCGGCGTCTCTCGTGAGGGGGAATATCAGCGGGAGACCGGCCCAGGGGGGGAAGCATCGAGCTCGAGTCGGCGATGCATCACCGATGGGTCGGCGCTCGCTGCTGACGGTAGGCCAGACCGCTCCTGGGCGGAGTGGATGACCAGGCCCCCAGTGGCGATCAGTGGGCGATGGTCACTGCACCCCCCCCTCAGCCCGTCCCCGTCCGCGGTGGTCTCCGGGCCATGCGTCAGGCCTCTGGAGGCCGTCCGGGACGATCTCCGGGCACCCCCGGAGAGGCTCTCTGCAGGGCGCCGCTGCCGGAGCGCATACGCAGGCCGGAAGAAAACCGCCGAGGACGGGCGCAAACGGTCGAAAGCGCCCTCCAGGAGATCGGATGCAACTCCTGGCAGGTCGAATCTTGCCATTGCCCGAGGGCAAAGTCGGATTTCTACTTTGCCAGGCAGAGGCAAAACGGAGTTCGGACAATTGTCCGAACCCCGGCTTGATCCGGCTTGAACTCCAGCTCAATCCCGCCTCATTTGCGGCCTAATCCAGCGTAGCAGCCACCCGAAAAAGGCCGAAATCCTACAATCCTTCCGGCGAAGACCTCCCAGCAGTTGCCTCCTAACCTGAGCCTGCCCCGCCCTTGCGATGCCCCTGACATCGACGATGCGCGAAGGCCGCCTCCATCGCGCGACCGCCCGGGCGCGCGGGCGCGCGCAGGCCCGCGCAGAGGACGAGGACCCGCGGGCGCGCCTGCCCTCTGGGGAGCGGCGCGCGCGCGCGCGCGCGGCGGCTGCGACCGCGGAGGCTGCGGGCCCGTTGGCGGGGGTACCATGCCGAGGAGCAGAGGAGGGCGAGGAAGAATTCAGCATCGAAAGTGACGTGATGTACATATTTTTGGGCGAATCTTGTGCAGCGTAGGCTGTGCAGACAGGGCAGGAGAGCTTAGCTCTGAGTCCTCGTGCTAAGCAGGACACTCCGCCTCCGACAGGCCTACAGCCATCTACGTTCGGCGACCATCAGACGCCCGCCTTGGCACGAAGATCTTCCAAGGACGGGGCGTGATTCCCGACACCATCTTCGGGAAAGTGCGTGCAACCTATCTTGCCCGATTCCCATCATTTTCCATGCAAGTTACCATGATGACCGCACGAGTCTGCGAAAGAATTCCACAGGCTAGCAACATCACACTTCCTGTCAGCGAGCTCGTTGTCCTTGGCAACCTCAGCCTCCACAAGAGAAGTATGCTCGAAAATGGGCTGCCGCAACAGCGCGGCCTTGTCATGGCACACGCAATCCCCAATCTCTGGGCAACCGTTCTCCCCAGTCTCGGTCTTGAAGTGCTGCGGGGGGTGGCCTAAGAACACCATGCGGCCGATGTTTGTGGCCTGGTGCGCATAAGAGATTGATTCGTTCGTCAAGTCCTGGACCTCTTTGGGAATACGCGTGAACATCGCATTGTGAGCCGTGTTCAAGAAAACGACGTCGAGATTTGGGGGCGTCAGCGGAATGCAGAACACGTCAACGGGCTTAATGTTGTCCATGCAGACGCGGTAGGTCTATAATCACACTTGAGCAACTACAATGGGCTTATGGCTTTCCTTCGTGAACATCGTTGCCTTGGTACCAGCAGACTCGTCCGCTCGGCTTCCCCATAGGCCAACAGGCACATCGGAGATGCTCCAACCAAATGCAACGGCGCTGCATATAAAGAGATGATGCACCATGTCCATGAGCGAATTGACTCCAAACAAGACGCGCTTGCCCTGCATCCGCACACGCATTTCCGAATACGGATGGGCCAACACTCCATGATGTAGAGAATTCCATCCTGTCGAGTTTCACTCTCTGTCTTGGAATGGCCGTTTCTCCTCGAATGTCGTCACCCGTACATCTGCTGGCACCTCAGTAAGGCGGAGGCCTGCTCCCCACCTAAAAAGGAACGTAACGAGGATTGAACAATGGAGAGCATTCGATGCAGAACCAGCAGGCGTAGCTGTGACGAAGTACTCCACTTGGAGTGAGCCAAGATACCTTGAGATATGGCTTGAGCCAAAATGGCTACGGCAGGGCACCGGGCAGGGGAGGACACCGAGGGAGGGCCCGGCGCCCAGTGAACGACGATCCAAAACCGGCCTTGCGCGAGATGGCATGGCGACCTTAAACGGTGGCTTACGATGGCCGCTGGCGCGGCACGCCACGCTGGAGACGAGGGCGCCCACGCGCGACCTTACGCGGGCAGCTTACGCGCCAATGTCGGCGCAAACGGCCCCGTTTTTTTGCGTCGCTCCAGCAGGACGCGTGGAGCTGAAAGACCTCCGACGGGCACTCCCCAAGACAGCAGCTTTCGCCCTGGATCCGCACGGCGAGGGCAATGGATCCAGGACGCTCCAGGAATCCAGGGTCTGGAACCCGGTGGCACGCAAATTGAAGTTTCGGCCATGGCTATCGCCGCCGCCATCCTCAGATAAAGAATCGGGGATCGGCCCAGGGCCTGAAGCCTCCTGGTCACATTCCTTGACGAACGCCCCCAGCGAATTGCCTGATCATAAGCCAGGGGCCCAAGCCCAGTCTCTAGAAGCCGAAGCTGAAAAAACAAACGCTGGGATGGATGTATACACGGAGGGCCAGCGCCACGCATCGCGTAGTTCGCATCGTCGATGGGTCACTGGACGGGCCAGGCTGGCAAACTGCAGCAGGGCCATGCGCCCACGAGCGTCTTGAACGGGAAGAGGGAAGGGCCCCGAAGGGGCCCAGACAAGAGGAGACGGCACCGCAGGATTCGAAGTGGTGAGTGTTCGAGCACAGCAGACGGTTAGCCCTGAGGCCAACACCCGACGTTACCACCAAACATTGAAGACGACGAAAGCCAGGGCAGGCCAGGCAGCGGAGGGACGAATCAGGAGCGAGCGTGCACCCGAAGACGCAAGACCGCTTCGCCAACACGAGCTCGCGGTGTGTCGTCGTCCACCCCCCCGTGAGCGACTTGACGACGGACCAACGCCAACCTGGGCGCACCACTCCAGGCACTCTGACAAAAGCCGGCCACCTCGCTGCAAGCTCGGCTGGCGAGAGCGGCGGCTGGACGTAGGCCCATGCGCCCAGGCGCTGTTGCAGGGTGGCCGCGAATAGAAAAAATGAACGAACGGAGAGGATCGCAACCATCACCAGCGGCACTCTCGGGCGGCGAGGCGGGGCTGCGAAGAGGATAAGGAAAAAGATCACGAGAAGGAGGAGGAGGAGGAGGAGGAGGAGGAGGAGGAGGTGCACGTAGTATGAGGTGGGCTGCTCCGCTGTTGGGATGAAGGCCGACGTCCCGGCAGGGCTGCGCCGCGCCCTGGCGCTGCCGCTTGTGCTCATCGTGCCTCCCGAAGGCAACGCCTGGGCGGCGGAGTGCGCGATGAACTCTCCGCGCAAGCCAGACGTCGCCGCGAAGTCCATGGCGGCGGGGAGGCCGCCGCGCCACCTGGGGACGTAGACGCCCGACCGCTGGCGGCCATCGTTGTCCAGTCTGTCGACGTCCTCCGGATCCTCGGCTTTCGGCCCCTCGCCAAGTGCCCGAGGCGGCAACAGCCCAGGCCGCTCGAGCTCCGCCCCCGAGAAGTCAGCGGCCTGGGCGTCGAAAAAGGTGCCGTGGCGGAACTTGTTGTGGCGCCGCGCGCCGTCATTCTGGTAGGCGCACGTCTCGGCGTGGTCGCAGTGCGCGTCCAGGACTTCTCCGCGCGCTGGGCAGAACGTCTCCTCGTTGGACCCAGATCCGCCGCTTGATCCAGATTTGCATCAGGCTGTGCGAGACCGCTGTGCCGGACGCGTCGACGGGGGGCGCCTGCAGGTGCGCGGTGGCGCCTGGCGCGGCCACCGGGACAAGGTGGGCGCGCGTCGCACGCGAGGGGCGGTCCCAAGGAGCTGCGCGCGCGGCGTCGTCGAGCTTGTCCGAGAGGGTCTGCTGGTTGGAGTGCGTTTCGCGGTCGAAGCGAAGCGAAGGGCGCGGTCTGCCTCCGGCAAGCTGGCGTTGTGGGCCTAGGGCGCCGCGGTCAGGGCTCTGGCGTCGCCCGCGTCGCCGTCTGCGTAGCCCGTGCGCATGGACTGGCAGAGCTCGCTGTTCTTGGCGCGCGAGGAGAGGTAAGCCGCCAGCGAGCGTCGCCCGGCAGAGCGTAGGCCTAGGACGCCTCTGTTGAGCTTTCACTGTGCTTGCGATCAGGAGTCCCCAGTGAAGGAGGCGCCGGCGAGCTGCTCCAGGCAGGAGCGGACAACGGAGTCCATCTCCAGGAGGGCCTCGGTGTGGGCGGAGGGCGGCACCACGCGCGCCGAGTAGCCGAACTTGCAGTAGGAGGCGTGCTGCCGCAGAAGGTGCAGACCCACCTGCGTGTTCTCCAGGCCGGCAAGCGCGTCCAGGAGTTCCGTGGCCTTCTTCACGCGTTTCGGCGTGTGCTGGCAGCGGAAGCCCTCACTCCCAGTGGGCGCGCCGAGCAGCTCGAAGCAGCCGTCGAAGCAGCGTTGGTGGGAAGTCGGCCGCGAACACGGTGCTGTCTGCCCCCGCCGCACGGACCACCTCGCAGGGCCTGGCCCGGTGCTGGGGTTGAGACCCGCTGTTGCGAGCTCTGTCGCGACAAGGTGCAGAGAGCGAGCCACGGCCTGTCTGTCATCCGCAACGCTTCCGTCGTCCAAGTAGTCGAAGGTGAGTTCCAAGCCGGCGTCCTGCGCGAGCTCCCTGAGATCCAGCGCCTCTTCGGGATGCGTCGGGCGGCGCAGCCGCTCTAGCTCCAGAGCGCCCTGGGAGTCCCCAGAGATCCGACGCATGGATTGCGGAATCCCCAGGAAAGCACCGCCCCCTTCCCCTGGCTTTGCATCCAGAACCGTTTTTGGACGGCCATGGGGCCCGGTAAGTTCCCCCCCGGGGCCGAGAACGACGGAAAACCTCCGCGTGGAATCTTTCAACACGTCGGAGGTCCAGGTCCGGGTCTGTCCTGCGAAAGGCGCCCCCGGCTGCGCACGGACTGCACCGTGGGCTGGGCTGGCCTCGACAGGCCCCCAGGGGGTCTGGGCCTGAAGGGTCCCCTTCTGGGAGCTGCTCGCGGACAGCCCCCCGGGGCAGGGCGGCCCTGCTGCCCTGCACCGGCCCCCCGGGGCAAGTCTCCAAGGGAAGGGCCCGCCTGTAGACAGATGGCGCAGCGCCCGCTGCTCAGTATCTACCCGTGGCGTGGCAATGGGATGAAATCGGGCCCGTCCCTCTACAGGAGGAACATTCAAAAATAGTACACAAAATATCTGGGCACTATTTTTTGAATATTTATTACAATTTCGGAATATTTGTTGCGTATGTTTTATTTGTTCGTTCAAATCCCCCCTGTAGGGGGACACGCCCGACTTAACAATGGGAACCGCTGGTTCTCGTCGGCGAAGACTGAGCAATTAGAGCGTTCCTGCGTGGCTTGCGCACCTCGCTATCCGCATGCTCGCCCCCAGTGTGGCCCCCTGCGCCTAGATCTCATGAGCTGCCTCGCAGTCCTCGTGGCGTGCACGTGCCTTGCCTTTTTGCGAGCGCCGATGCAGAAGAGCCTCTGGCAACGCCAGCCCTTCTGAGAGGTCTGTGTGCAACTCCTCCACTGTAGCAGCTGTGAGCAGCGAAGCAACGACGATGAACACTTGCGATCCCGGCGCCCCTGCGCTCAAGACCTCCCCCAGATCAGACCTCGTGAGTTGAGAGCGCCGAGGGTGCTACAAGCTTGCGCGTGCGAAAAAAAACTCCCAGGACATGAACCCGATACTTTAAGAAACTACCATGGGGATATCCCGATAACCCATAATCCACAACGCATCATCGATATTCATGTATTACACTATTGGTACACATGTCTCGGATTGTCGGACCTCCTAGGCACCTTCTGGACCAGACATCCAGGCGATCGCTCCCGAAAGTCACATCTGTTCAAACCACCAAATCTGAATTAATGCCCACGCATCCTGGGAGGTCGGCTGACCTCCAGGATACTTTCCGGACCGATGACCCAAGTCATACCGAACTTGCATGTCTTGCAGGATCGTCCCTATTTCCAGCCCAGTTTATAAGGTCGAGGGACCTTGCAGCACCGTCGGCCCTTTCGAGCAAGCAGCACACAATGCATCGTAGTGACAAGTGAAGGCCGAGACTGCCAACTTCATCGTCATCGCTCTATCTACGGCACTGCCCAGAGCTTGACCGACCCGTGAGGATCTCGGGGCCCCAGAGAGGGTAACGAACACGCCCGTCGTGACTTCTCCGCAGCGCCCAGATCTGAGGGACAATCAAGAGAATGCCCCGGCTACGCGCAAGAGTAACCACAGACAACAGCGACCTCTGGCGCAAGGCTTGCCCATCGTCGCCTGCGGTGCGGCAATATCGGCCCGCACGCTGGGGTCTGGCCCCCGCCGGGAATGAGGCCAAATCCGGTCACAAACCGGTCCCTGGCTCCTTCCAGGGGTCCAAACGAACCAGTTTTTGGAGCCGCGTTGAGCCGTGGCGACGAAAAAGGCCCCCTTCCCCCACTCAGCACAGCCCCACCCGAATCCAACTCTTACGCGTGGCCGAGCAGTAGCGGCCAGTCGTGCGATATCGCACACCCCCGCGCCCCCACGGGCAGAGGCGCGTCACGCCATCAGCGACTGCTTCAGGCGCCGCATGCCGCCCGAGACGACCGCCGCGGCCGCGCCCGCGGAGTTGCTCGCGCCGGCGCCGCCAGGCTGGCCCGCGCCGCCTGGCGGGTCGCCGAAAGAGGCGCATGTCGGCGGCGCGCTGAGGAGGGAACGGCTCACGGGATTTTCAGGAGGTTCTCGGGCGTCTTTGTCGGTTCTCGGTGGGTTTCCAGCCTCGGGGAGCGTTCCAGCAGCTGCGCTTCGCGGAGGGGCGTCCGGTGGTGCCTGGATCGTCCCGAACGGCTGCCGGAGACCCGAGCTGAGACCCGAAAACCAGACTACGACTGGGGGTCACACTTTGAAGGATGTCTGCAGCCAAGTGAACCCCAGCGGAGGTGTCAGATACCCCAGCGTCGATTGGAACTTCCCAGAGGGCCAGCGTCTCATGTCGAGCCGTTTTTTGACGTGCCCCTGCAGTGCCCTGCGAGGGACCCCAGAGGCCGAAAGCGGCAACTAGCCGTCCGTCGTTGTTTTTTGGTTGGTCTACGGCGCGAGCATGTCTGGGAGCGGAGGCATCCTCCTCTGTGGGTCTGACACGCGGTACGCAACGCCACAGGAGGAGGCCCCTGATTTCAGACCCACCGTACGTCGTCTGGTCTTCGACTGAAAAGTGCATCGACAAAACACCCCGAACGGTGCGAAGAAGGAGGGCGCAAGATCCCGCCTCGGGCCTCAGAAAAATAGGGGGGTCTTCCGCAGAAGGTAATGGCAGGAACGGCAACTGCAAGGTGGGCCAGAGATCGGCACCAGCGGAGCTCCACAGGCGGGGCCGGCGACCCTTTCTTGACGGTCCAGGGGCCCGACGAGGGCCCCCGGAGGCCGAACACTGGCAGAAACGTCCCGTCGTGCTCTTTGACGACCCGACGGGGGGCCGGGGAGGGCGAGGCGCGGCGCAAGCGGGGGCCGCTCTGGGCGCCTCCAGTCACCGCCGCCTCGTACTGCTTCAGCATCGCCCCCGTGCGGCCGCCGCGCGCCTGCGTCCCGGCGGCGAGGGGGAGGGCGGAGCTCTGGAGGAGCTGTGGACTTTATGCATGTCGAAGCTCACTTTGCACGTCGTTTCTGCCCAGCCTGGCTTCATAAGGCGGGAGGGGAGGGGGGAGAGGGGGGGGGGGCCGACGACTCGGCGTCCAGCCGCGCTCAAAGTGCTGTCCGTGCCGAGGAGGGGGCAGAAGAAGCGCGCGCGGCACCCGATCGAGGTCATTGGTTGGCCCTGGACCCTGGACCTCGGCACGAACATCAAACATCGGGCCGAGAAAGGTCGTCCCCTCGCCTCAGTCAGGTCCCCCTCGGTGCCCATACTTCCCCAGAAATCGCGCTCGAGGAAGCCGCCCGCGAGGGCTGCTAGGGCTACGCGTTGGCCTGGCAATGTTTTGTTCGTAAATGCTTGTGGCAGTCTGGCCGCCTGCTCCCGACATGCCTGGCCCCGATGGCCCCAGTGGGCTTGACTGGCTTCAGCTGGCTCAAAGTACGGTCGGATCTAAGACAAAAGAACATCCTTCGGGAACATGAGACCCTCCGCCGGCCAAGACACCCCGAAGATCACTCGAGGGTGCCCTCCCCCAGGATGCACAAGAACATCCAACAAACACGAATAACCTGAGGGTACACTCCCCGGACCGACCTCCATCACAGACCCTGGCTTGGTCCCCGAGGGCGGAAGCCTCTGTCCCCGAATGGAATCCCCCAAAAACCCCAGCAACCACTTGAACACATCGAAAAATGCAATTCCTCCTAGCTCTGCCCGCCCCCAGACCTTCTCGAGTCCTGTCTCGTCCTTATCGACGCGTCCTGTCCTGGCGAACAGCCGATGGTTGTCAAACAGGCCGCCCCCCCAGAGAAACGAGGCGGGCCTTGTCAGGCTGTTCGGCACTGGCCCCCAGGGCCCAGGGGGGGCCCAGCGCTGATCCAAGAAATCCGCGCGGATCTCCGAGGAATTAGTTCAGTTTCTTGTTCTACGAGTGCCTACCAATCGAGAGTGATTGTAGAGGGCTCGCGAGAGGACACGAGACCCTTCCGATGGCCACACTGCCATAGGAATGTTGAAGCGATGGTCGCGAAACACAGGACACAAGGGCACCCTTGTTTTGGCAGGGTCGCCCTACTAATCAAACTCGACTGCGCTGTACTTGCCACCCAACCACGACGTCAGCGAGCTGCCTCCCCCAGGCCCACGCCTTCGGGTGTCGCTTCAAGTGCCCCTGGCCCAAAGTGCCCCCAGGACTTCCAAGGTCCCCGCGGCCTCCAGAGCACCCCTCGCGAGGCCCAGAGGGCCCCAGGGGCTCCCAGATCGAGCGAACAGCTCGAGGCACCCTGGGCCCGGCGAGGAGCGGCCGCCCCTCCTGGCTGGCGCGAGCGCCGGCAGGCAGGCGCGAACCACCGCCGCGGCCCGACTGCGACGAAGAGAAAAGGGTCTTACGAGAGCTGGCGGGGGCGACCTTACGCGGCGGCTTACGCAGGCCGTCAGCGCGGCACGCCACAGTGGAGACGAGGGCGCTTACGCGCGACCTTGCGCGGGAGGCTTACGCGCGAATGTCGGCGCAAACGTCACTGTTTTTTTGCGTCGCCCACATGGGGCGTTAAGGCCTCGCCTGCGAGGGATCGGAAGAGTTCACGAGCGGCGAGCATAATACGTATCCGACCCCTCGCAGTCCGGATTCCGGGGCGCGATCCCGCGGGACGTCTCGCGTGGGGCACGTCTCGCGCGGGGCATCCGCAAAAAAAACGCACCGTATCCAGAGGGTCGCGGCCCAGGGCCCAGCCTGCGAGGCAGCGGAAGGTTACGGAAATGCGTCTCGCCCACGAGATGGAAATCGGCATCTCGTCCTCGGCGGAAGGCAGCGGAAGGGCGGCAAAAGCAAAGCGAAGGTGGCTCCGCCGGCGGAAACCAAAAGTTTGGCAAGTTTTCGGGTTCAGGGAGTCCGGAACCCGCCCCCCCCCCCCAACACCATATCTAAAGGGTTACTTTTTCACTCGCCAGTTCTGCCGGCCGGCTTTCGCTGGCCCCGCTGCCGGCTTCCGCCAACGGTTCTGCCTTTGTGTTCTTTCCACCGCCTTCCCCCGTCCTTCATCTTCGGAAACTTTGTCTGCCCCGCCCCGCCGCTACCCGCGTCGAGTCCATGCCGAACCAATGCCGCATCCGCGCCACATCCGCGCCGACTCCGCGCCGAACCCACGCCAGACCCACGGCGAATCCATGTCGAGCCCGCGTCGGATGTCAGAAATGACCGCAATTTCAAATTACAGGCCATCCAGACATCCGACGTCCCAATTTTGGCAACGCGGAATTCCCAAGGCTCGCGTTTCATCGCGAGTCGTCTTTTCACGGCCAGAGGGCCTGGCCAGGGCCCCCGAAGCCAAAAGCGACAGAAACTTGTTTTCCGTCAGCGGCGAGGCGGCGAAATCCGCTTCAGCGAGAAGCTAGATAGGGGCACTGACTAGCGAATTGGCCAGCGAGCAAAAAGGGAAGTGGGGGACGGCCGAGAGGAAAGAAGGACGCTCAGACGCCGAAGAGATCGACGATGAGCAGCCGGGCGGGCAGCAGCAGCCAGGCGCGAAGCGACAACAAAAACTCTCAAGCCAAAAAAAGACGCGACCGCGCATGGCGTTCGGGCCCAAACTCGGGTCACCAGCGGCCGGCGGCCGCTCGGAACGACCTGGGCACCCGTGGAACGCCCTCGGCGAGGCGCAACTGCTGAAACGCAGCCCGAAGCAAGGGAACCTCCATGAATCGACGCAACCTGCCAAACAGCACACGAGACCCGCCGGAACTGTCAAGAAACATACCTGCACGACGCGAGCATGCATCTGGCCATCGCTCGGACGTCCATTCCCTATGCTTGTTTCGGTTTCGTGCGTGGTTTTTCCGCAGGATGATCCAGGATGCTCCTCAATAATCCCCGCCGAGAAGAAGTGCACACGTCCGAGCGATACCAAGGCATGGGCAGGCGAGGCCCCCCCAAGGTGCAGCTGGTCCCCGCTCCCCGCGGTCGAGGCGCCCGCTCCAGAGCGGCCACGCGGTCCGAGAGGCCCTGGCGCTCCACCCAGAACGCCTCCTCGCGCTCGGCCAGGAGCTGCTGCACCCGCAGGGCCAGCTCCGCGGCGTCTCCTCGGCGCGGGCCCCGCCCGGACTTCAGCTCCGCCGTGCGTCGGGCGATCGCGGGAACTGGGCCGGAAAGTTCCGTGTTGCTTTCTCGAGCGCCTCCGACGCCGATGCCTGGCCTGCTTTGCCGTCGCCGTGTCTGCCACGCTCGTGAAGACAAGCCCGATCCGCCCTACTCATTCGAACCGTTTGGGGTGTATTCCCAGCACAGATTTAAGTCGGAAAATAAAGCATAGTGCGGCGGATCCGAAGCCATGGCAGCCCCGCCTCCTTCCAAGACGTTCGCGCGTCGAGACAAAATCGCGACGGGAGGCTGTTGGCTGTTTTCGGCCACTGGGGGCCCTCGCGGGGCCCCAGGGTAATGGATCAACAGCACGGGATGAAAAAACTGGCCATGGGGAAGAGGTAGAGGCGTCCGGGGACCCACTATGGAAAAAACGCATGTTGATGTCTGGGATTATTTTCTTTCCGTGCAAGCGTGTGGCCATGGCAACCGAATGCAACAACTCAAGAGGCGGAGGTGTCTAAACCAATGAGGTCGTGTGCTCGGTGTGCGCCGCCCCGGCGAGTCGGAGGTCTGCGCGAATTTCTTGGGTCGGCGCTGGATTCCCACTGCCTGGCTCGCGGACCGCGCCAGGGGCGGCGCCAGGGGGGGTCCAGCGCCGATCCAAGAAATCCGCACGGGTCTCTTGGTGCATGTGCTAGATAGTTCTTCTTCGACCCCTCACCCAGGCCAACCTTGCTCGACCTTTTCGTCTACACTGTGCACCTTCTGCTCAATGCTTACTTGTCCTCCTCGCTCCTCTTTCTCAATATTATCCTCTTCCTCTCCGTCCCTCTGTTCACCCCTCGCTCCTCGCCATCTCCTATATGTTCTCATGCTAACCAGCACCCACCGCCTCCCACGGTAACAGCAACAAGCGTTGGATGGCCCATGCGCCTCGCTTCTAGAATGCTCAAACAGACAAATTGAACGCCAAGCTTCCAAACAGCTCAGCTGATGGGGAGAGGTGCAACGTGCCAATGTATCAATCGTGCCTGCTTCGTGGCCACGAGAATTCTTTTCACGCCGTTCAAACAACAAAATATGTTAATGTCTGTAACTCCTCAGGCGCAACGTTGTCACCACAACAATTTGCACGAACGTCCTTTCTTTCGAAGCGATGTACGGATAGCGGGCAGACCGTGTTCAAACTAGGGCCTTCGCGCCGGCAACGAGGGCACCGCTCCCTGTCAAGATGGGTGGTGGCTTCCTCTGATGCCTTTGGGCATAGATGCCAATACCAGTGTTCGGACCTGTACAAGAACACATTCCCCACTGACCCGGTCCTCCGTGGGACACTCACCTCGGCAAATTCATGCGGGCGACCCGGGTACACCCTAGATGCAAAAATGCGGGCCTCTCGCAATTGCCTTCAGCCGGCTGGTTCGCCGCCGTTCTACCGCCAGCCTCCGCCGAGGAAGAGCTGCCGTCTTGCCGACCCCCCAAAAATGGCAATTCTCCCTTGGGGAAACAAGACGGCACCGATGCTGCCACTCTCCGAACCTATTCTGGGGAGCGTTCTGACCAGCACTTCGAGGCGAGTCCAGCGGTGGCGACATGAGCCTCCCAGAAAGCCCCCAAAGACAACATTGAACAACGGAAAACGATATCGGAACTTTTCGTCCTCTGATTTCTGGAATCGCACCTTTACGACCCGTTCCTGAAACCACAAATCCAAAGAAGTTGGCAGCTCCCTGGGGCGCATTGATTACTCATGCTGGTTTCCGCCGGCCTTCCGCCAATTTCCCCCAGCTGAAGCGGCCTCGTTTTACTTCCGCAAACTTCCGCCGCCCTTTTTTGCCGCCTTCCGCCGAGGAAGAGATGCCAACTCCTTCGACCCTCGAAGGCGAAGCCCTTCCCGGAAGGGGCCGATCTTTCCATCCCTGCAGCTCCTCGGCTCGGTGCGGTGCGGGGACGTAGGCCCGGCACCACTCCCACTCTTTTGATGGTTCTTGCCTCGCGCCGCCTGCCTCACGGGGCCCTCGCAACTTCAGAGCGCGCCAACTGCTGCGAACAGGATTCATCATAAAAAACTTTTGGGAGGTAGGTCTTCACAAGAACGGCTAAACGCTATCAAGCCCGAAGAGGAAGCCATTGAGCTGGACGGACACTATGTTCAAAGGATTGGCCGGCACGAATATGGAATAAGCGGGATCAAGCTGGATTAGACGGGGTCATGTAGGATCAGGCCAGTTTTCGACCACATGGATACCAGCGTCGATGCTTGACTAGATGGTTTTGAACCAACACGACTGCGGAGCGAACCCGCCCCTCACAATCTCTCACAGTTCCTTACCAAGGGTTATGTAGAATGCACTGCTACACTCCTCCTCGGCCAGGCGCCCTCGCGCCGCCGCCGAACAGCAGGCATTGAAACGCAAGCAGGCGCCCTCGCGCCTTCACATCTTTCCTCGGCCGAACCTCCGGCCCAAGTCGTGACTAAACCGCTGCCCTCAGGGACAGCTCACTTCTACCCTCTTGAATCACAAACCCGCACTTGTCCATGAAGAAATCGATCTTGTCGCCGCTCAAGTGCTTCGTCATCAGGTCGGCAGTATTGAGCTCGCCTGGAACCTTATTCAACTTCGCAAGCTTCTCGTGGTAGATAGCTTGAACCAATAGATACTGTGTATGTAAGTGCCGCACCTTCCCGGCACCAATCCTGAGCGCCATGCCACGCCCGGCTGTCGCATCCGTCTCGATGACTAGGCCTTTCGTCATGCCGTAGTCCTTGCACACGCTTTGAGCGCCAAGTCCCACGCTCGTCCCTCGAACAATCGCATTAAACTCCGACTCGCCACTCGATAAAGCAATCGCAGATTGAGTGTTGGCGGTCGCCTTGAGCAGATGAACTCCATGATAAAGTGCAACTCCAGTAGTGCTCCTCCTTGTCAGCACGCAGCCCGCATGGTCTGAGTCGCAGGCTACCGTGATCTCGTCCGGCTCGTCCTGCTGGATGAACCGCTGTACTATTCTCGGCCGGCGTAGCAAGTAGCGTCCGATCCTCTTCACCATCTCCATGGCCACCTCGGTCGGCTTGCTCATCCACCTGGCCGCTTCCTTCGCCGCGTAGAGCAGGTCGATCCTGTCCATCGCGAGGTAGTTGATGCGCATGCAGACGCTCCTGTATAGCGCCGCCTCTGCAGTACCAAGCGGAGGGGACTCAAGCAGTTCCTCCGCCGTCCTCTTGATGCCTGGCGATGTCACCGCCTTGCTGCCCTTGTCGAGTCCGAGCTTCAGCTGGCTCGTGACGATCTCGACGTGATGGGCGTCAGCTTCCAACTCCAAACACGGAACGCCGGCCTCGGTCTTGTTTAGCCTGACGATCCTGTTGAGCAGCGTGATCTCCCGCAGGTCGCCGTCATCCCAACCGAGAATTCCTCGGACCTTCACAAGCAATCGCTTGGATAGCTCGGTCTTGAACCACTCCAGAGCGTCATCGTCGCCCTCGCTCACGAAGTCGCCCCCGTGGTAGAACAACAATACGTTCTTCTCGTCGTGCCTGCACAGGCACCGGCAGAATACGCCAATCTTGAAATCCATCTCTCGCAGCACTTCCATCACCTTGTCAGCGAAGTTGGCCGCTGCGTCCCTCGTACCGTACATGCTCTTGAGCAGCAGCGCGCAATATCCTTCTCGGTGCCGTTCAGGAGGTAGCTGAACAAACACTCGTCGCCGAGCGGGACTGTGGAAGTGCCCTACTGATATCAATGAACATCAACTTGCGCCTCCGGCAGTCGCCCCGCTTCCGGCTCATCATCTTGCTGAACAGCATCTTGACACCCTCCTGCGGCGGGGTCGCCGAGAACACGTCATCCCGGAAGATCCCAGCCCTCTGCTGCGCGCTCTTCAGCTCCTTTGCGACCAGCCTGCATCGCATCTCCGGGCGCTCCGTATCGCCCTTGTTGACGTCTACCCACTTGACAGGGATGGGCTTCGCCTTGGTCTCCTGCCAACAGAGAGACTCTGGAACCTCCTGGAGCACCTCCATGTCGTCCATGTACTTGATCTCCTCCTCCCTGCCGGCCCGCACCATCTTCGCGTCCAGCAGATGGCCCGAGATATTGTCACGGAGCTCCTCGTGCTCCTCCATGTCCCAATTCACAGCGTCCTCCTCGCAGGTGACGCCCACGGTGAACGCGCTCAGGTCGCCATTGGCCCTCAGCTGGGCCGTCAGACCCCTGAGGATTGCCGCCACTAGGGCAGGCGGGTAGTTCTGCGCCGGTCGCGTCCTCGCACTGCCAACCAGCGGTACATGAGCATGCCGCTGGCTCCTGGGCAGACTCTCGTTCTCGCACCGACGGGATACTTCAGCCAAAATACAGGGTGAGTTGCTCAACCAGCCGGTGGACTTGAGGACCAGCCCCATCTCGCCGTCGTAGTCGACCGTCTGCTGGCCGAAGCAGCATTGGTGCCCCGTCACGCGTGAGACACCCTCCATCTCCATCAGCTCGACCATGAAGTCTAGCTTCCAACTCCAAGCTTGATCAGGATGTTCGTGCAGGAAGTAGCGTCCTTCTCGCACTTGCTTCTTGTACTGCCTCACGCAGAATCGAAGGTGCCTGATGCCCTCGATGACCTTCCGCTCGTACTCCTCCGGGTCGCGGTTCTTGTTCAGGTTCATGATGGCGCTGAACGCTCTGCACATCGGCGACCCAATCAGGACGTACAGCCTCTCATGGTCGATGATATTCTCGCGCAGCACCTGTCGGTCGGGATCCGACAGATCCCACTGCACTCCGTTCTCGTCTTCCAGGCACAGGTCGAACGCGTGCCCCGGGTTGAGGCCAAACGACTCCGCCCTGCTGGTGAACTTGCCCGGCCCGAACAGCTCCGACACGTGCGCGCCGAAGAAGCCCAGATCCTTCACGAGGTCCTCGACCTCCCCCAGCAGGTTGGCGTCCATGGCCCCCTCCACGCCTTGCGGCCCTTGGCTATCAGCTAGCCGCTTCAAGGTCGT